TGTCATTTGCTGGTAATTTTAAACACTTTTTTCCTTTGTAAATCTCAAAGCTGCAGCAGCACTGTCTGTACATCACAGAGATGTGCCCCTTCACAGACAGTGTTAGGGCACCACCCAGGCATTATATTTAAAGGGATTGGTAATTTTTAATGTTTCAGTTTAATCATGTAAAAAACATATCACTATTACTGGCAAAATGGAATTAAAAAATGTTTTTGCATTGGTATATGTTCCCAGGGTATTGCTGCCCATTCTTTTTTTTTTTTTTTTACACACCCTTGCCCATTAGTCCAGAAAATGGGCATTTTTAATTTGACAGATTCAGCTCCAATTGATTTCAATGGGATTCAGGTTCTGCAACCAAACTTCTTTGAATTTCACAGAACAACGCTCAAACCAAACCCAGGGCAGTTTGGCTCATCCCTAACAAAGACAAGCAATACTATCTTCAATATTATCTAGCATATTGAATATCTGTATCATCATACAAATTATTTTCACTACAATCTCAATATACACTACTAATTCCTCTGTATAATCCATTTATTCCACTTCGAATGGATATGACTGCATTTAAATGGTGGCTAGATAAAATATGTACAAAACAGGTAATTTTATTGATCATAAAGGTATTCTCACAAATGACCATTTAAAAAACACTTATTTCATGAAAAAAAATTCCTTAATGCTAAACATTTAGATCAAATCAGATTATGCAGGTTATACAGAAAATTCATGAAACAAAGACCATTTCTGCTATGACATTTTGAACATGGGTACTTCACTTCAACGGGACAAAAAGGGAGCATTTAATTCCTATACACTCTGAAAAAACTACAGAAATCAAAGAATTGCACAAAGGGCTATACAAGCCGACTATGGGATAACTATTATGTCTCTCATTGAAGCAAACTTTAAGGTAATCTCCAGGTGATATACAGTATATTCAAAAACATCCTTCCAATTGCAAGCTTCCAGAGCTCCAAGAATAGCAGTGATGGTCAGGTGATACACAGTAACAGGGAAAGATGATACCACGCTCAACAGCCTTGACCACTGCTCAGAAACAACAGGATACTGATGGCAAAGTGTAAGACCTATGAGGGACCCTACAAACTGGCTAATTTTTTCAGTACAGCTTTTGTGCATGAGACACAAAATGGAGCCAGACCAAGACAGTCTCCTGCATCATCAAGAGCAGGAGTCTCCAAACTATGGCCCTCCAGGTGTTGAGGAACTGCAAGTCCCATGAGGCCTTGCAAGACTCTGACAGCCACAGTCAAGACTCCCAGAGGCAGAGGCATGATGGGACTTGTAGTGCTTCAACAGCTGGAGGGCCATAGTTTGTAGACCCCTGATCAAGAGCAAGGGTCTCCAAACTATGGGCCTCCAGCTGTTGAAGTACTATCATGCCTCTGCCTCTGTGAGTCTTGCCTGTTGCTGTCAGAGTCTTTCAAGGCCTCATTGGACTTGCACTTCCTCAACACCTCACCACCCAGGTGAGAATCTTTACAAAATACAAAAGGACACTACAATGTTAACATCTTGTATAAAAATGTCAGCAGCCTTGCAAAGACAAGGGTCTGCAGATAATTTCCTAGTTTATACAAGGGAACACATGGAGCACACATATAACTTTCCTATGATGGTACAACAATTGCTGGTCACTAGTGTAATCCATTGAAATGTTATTACTTACAATATTTTTTTTTTTAAATGGACATTTATTATATGGCTGTGGTCTGCAATTTAGGATCACTCACAAGGACAGAACTTGTATGCTGCACAGGAGGACTCAGCTGGTGAGCAGGGCAGGCAAGGACTACATATCCCAAGAGGGGTAGCATGTGGGCAGGGGCATATAAATATCAAAACCTGGGAGATTGGCCAGGAGAGTGCGGGAAGAGACTGAAGGAGAAGGTAGTGTGCTGACGGCTGAGGTGCTGGACTGGGCAGCAGAGCCAGGGTTGGAGAGAGAGGAGGAGCGGAAAGAGCCTACTGAGCACCCAGCCTCCAAACGCTGCCCAGCAGGCCAATCTGACAGATAGAGACTAGACAGGAGGCTGAGACTGAGCTGGCAAGTCCATGGACTGACCCTGTTTGCAGAGAAAAAAAAAGACTGCTATGATCTGACAGATTACTTTGATTGGGTGAGAGAGACCCATTGTCAGGGCTCCCGGGTATGACCAGAGGTGTGTGACTGACGCAGGGAAACGCAGACTTCAGATATGTTATAAACAATGTAATTTATTAACACTAACCATACAAACATAAACGCAGTGCAATACTAAAACATAACACAGTGCAAACAAACCAACCAACCACCCACAGATAACAGTACATACAATGCAAGCGTCGTCAGGCAGGCCGGGTCAATATCAGTCGGGCAGGTAGGTACAGGGGGAGCAAGCGGAGAATGGTCGGGGTCACAGGCCAGGTTCAGCAGGTAGCGGGCAGCGTGGTACAGAGGGTCAGGCAGAGGAGAATGGTCAGACAAGCCAGGGATCAGAGCAGGGTCAGCAGAGAATCAGACAGGAACAGAGAGCAGGAACAGGATACAGGGCCCAAGAGAAACACAACACCAAGGCAGAGTCTGCAGGTCTGAATGTCCCTTAAATACACCAGTATAATTAGTTCCAGGTGTTTGACTGGCTGCAAGGTTGAGTCTCTGATTGCTGGGAGCACCCGCTGGCCAGCCCTGGTACTGCAGCTCATAAGGCAGCTGAGTCCCACTATTGCTGGCCAGTCCATTCCTGACACCCATGCACTCACTAACTCCTCAAGGAGCGGCCTCAGGACGCTCCAAACAGTCCTAGCTGGGCAAAATGTTCCACCGCCCGGGTCTGGTAACTGGCGGGATATCAAAGACTGGCACACCAGGCATTACTCCGGGCAGTGGCACACCGGGCAGAGGCACATCGGGAAGGACTACGGGCAGAGGCACATCGGGCTGGACTCCGGGCAGAGGCACATCGGGCTGGACTCCGGGCAGAGGCACATCGGGCTGGACTCCGGGCAGAGGCACACCGGGCAGAGGCACATCGGGCTGGACTCCGGGCAGAGGCACACTGGGCTGGACTCCGGGCAGAGGCACATCGGGCTGAACTCCGGGCAGAGGCACATCGGGCTGGACTCCGGGCAGAGGCACATCGGGCAGGACTCCGGGCAGAGGCACATCGGGCAGGACTTCGGGCAGAGGCACATCGGGCAGGACTCCGAGCAGAGGCACATTGGATTACCAGGCGAAGCAGCAGGCAGCGGGCCACCAGGCGGAGCAGCAGGCACCGGGCCCCCAGGCGGGGCAGCAGCCACCGGGCCCCCAGGCGGGGCAGCAGGCACCGGGCCCCCGGGTGGGGCAGCAGGCAGCGGGCCCCCGGGCGGAGCAGCAGGCACCGGGCCCCCGGGCAGAGCAGCAGGCACCGGGCCCCCGGGCGGGGCAACAGGCATCGGGCCCCCGGGCGGGGCGACCGGCATCGGGTCCCCAGGCGGGGCGACCAGCGTCGGGCCCCCAGGCGGAGCGACAGGCATCGGGGCCCCCAGGCGGAGCGGCGGGCGCCGGGCCCCCAGGAGGGGCGACAGGCATCGGGCCCCCAGGCGGGGCAACAGGCATCGGGCCCCCAGGCGGGGCAACAGGCATCGGGCCCCCAGGCGGAGCGGCGGGCGCCGGACCCCCCCAGATGGAGCGACAGGTCTCGGGCCCCCTCAGGCGGAGCGGCGGGCGCCGGACCCCCAGGTGGAGCGACATGTCTCGGGCCCCCAGGCGGAGCGACAGGTCTCGGGCCCCCAGGCAGAGCGACAGGTCTCGGGCCCCCAGATGGAGCGATAGGTCTCGGGCCCTCAGGCGGAGCGGCGGGCGCGCCAGACCCCCAGGTGGAGCGACAGGTCTCGGGCCCTCAGGCGGAGCGGCGGGCGCCAGCCCCCAGGCGGAGCGACAGGTCTCGGGCCCCCAGGCGGAGTGACAGTGAGTGACAGGTCTCGGGCCCCCAGGCGGACCTACAGGTCTCGGGCCCCCAGGCGGAACGACAGGTTTCGGGCCCTCAGGCGGAGCGGCGGGCGCCGGACCCCCAGATGGAGCGACAGGTCTCGGGCCCTCAGGCGGAGCAGCGGGCGGGCCCGGACCCCCAGGTGGAGCGAGCGACAGGTCTCGGGCCCTCAGGCGGTGCGGCGGGCACCGGGCCCCCAGGCGGAGCGACACAGGTCTTGGGCCCCCAGGCGGAGCGACAGGTCTCGGGCCCCCAGGCGGAGCGGCGGGCGCCAGACCCCCAGGCGGAGCGACAGGTCTCGGGCCCTCAGGCGGAGCGGCGGGCGCCGGACCCCCAGGTGGAGCGACAGGTCTCGGGCCCTCAGGCGGAGCGACAGGTCTCAGGCCCCCAGGCGGGGCGGCGGGCGCCGGACCCCCAGGCGGAGCGGCGGGCGCCGGACCCCCAGGCGGAGCGACAGGTCTCGGGCCCCCAGGCGAAGCGGCGGGCACCGAGTCACCAGGCACGACAGTGGGCTCCGAGTCAACTGGCATGACCGCTGGGCACTGGGTCAGACATTGGATCGTCTGGCTGGACAGCGGGCATCGGGTCACCAGGCATCAGGTCATTTGGCTCGACAGCGGGCACCGCGTCATCTGGCAAGGCAGTGGGCTCCGAGTCAACTGGTATGACCGCGGGCACTGGGTCAGACATTGGATCGTCTGACTGGACAGCGGGCATCGGGTCACCAGGCATCAAGTCATTTGGCTCGACAGCGAGCACCGCGTCATTTGGCAAGGCAGTGGGCTCCAAGTCAACTGGCATGACCGCGGGCACTGGGGCAGACATTGAATCGTCTGGCTGGACAGCGGGCATCGGGTCACCAGGCATCAGGTCATTTGGCTCGACAGCGGGCACCGCGTCATCTGGCAAGGCAGTGGGCTCCGAGTCAACAGGCACGACAGTGGGCACCGGGTCATCAGGTACCGGATTGTCTGGCTCGACAGCGGGCATCGGGTCACCAGGTATGACAGCGGGCACTGGGTCACCAGGCATCAGGTCATTTGGCTTGCCAGCGGGCACCGCATTATCTGGCAAGGCAGTGGGCACCGGGTCACCAGGCATTGGATCGTCTGGCTCGACAGCGGGCATCGGGTCACCAGGTATGACAGCGGGCACTGGGTCACCAGGCATCAGGTCATTTGGCTTGCCAGCGGGCACCGCGTCATCTGGCAAGGCAGTGGGCACCGGGTCACCAGGCATTGGATCGTCTGGCTCGACAGCGGGCATCGGGTCACCAGGTATGACAGCGGGCACTGGGTCACCAGGCATCAGGTCATTTGGCTCGCCAGCGGGCACCGCGTCATCTGGCAAGGCAGTGGGCACCGAGTCACCAGGTACGACAGCGGGCTCTGAGTCACCGGATCAGGTACCGGATCAGGTACCGGATCATCTGGATCAACAGCGGGCATCGAGTCAACTGGCCTAATAGGATCGTCAGGCTGGATCAGTTCATCATGCTGGGTAGAGGCATCAGGCTGAATGCCGGCGTCCGGCTGAGTAGAGGCTTCAGGCCGAGTAGAGGCTTCAGGCTTAGAGGCTTCAGGCATGCTGAAGAGAGGCATCAGGGTGCGTACAGGCATCAGGCCGAGTAGAGGCATCAGGCTGCGTACAGGCATCAGGCTGAGTGAGGATTCAGGCTGAGTAGAGGCTTCAGGCTGAACCACGGAAGGCAGGTTTACCGGTTTGGATACTGGCAGGATGGTATTGGTTGGAAAGAATTTTCGCTTTTTTCTGGTTTTACCTACTGGAGCACTGCAAGTAAACGCAGGTCTGCAAACGAATGGAGCAGCTGGAGACAGAGAAGAACTGGAGGATGGAACAGGAGAGGGAGCAGTTGCTACAGAGGGCTTTTTTACAGGGTTAAAGGCAGGATAGGTGCAGCGAGTGGGAACAGGGTACTGACATGCGGTAGATAGCAGGGCAGGAGGAGCTGTTGGGAATGCAGGAATAGAGTTTTGAGGAAATAGATTAGAAGCAGGACTGGGTTTTTGTAAGCTGACTGAGGCTGGGTGCAACAAGTCTGTCCATGTCTGCAGTATGGGTTGAACAAAGCTGAGCTTACACAAAGCCTGTCTGACCAAAGACTGCACTGCGTTTATTCAATCTCTTAGTGTCTGTGGTGAACATGTGGAATAACGCTCCAGAAAGTAACCCACATCATCCTGTAATAACCACACCAGGGACTCTACCTGGTCTGCACTAAATGGTGGCAAAAATTCATCCCTGCATTCGGGGGTACCAGATGAAACCAACTCAGCACAAACCTCAATCAAAGGCTGCACCTCAGAGAACTCTGTGCCCTGATCTACTAGAACATGAGCGAGCCGTATACATTCTAGCAGTTCATCCCGGGTATACTCCTTCAGAGTTTGATAAGCATACTCCCTGTCATCAAACACTAGCAGACATAAATACGCAACCTCATCCAGATCCATCCTTCCCATCAACAAGCCAAGATGGCTTCCCTGTGCAGTCACTTCTGGTCAGGATTGCCCTTGGTGTAATGTCAGGGCTCCCGGGTATGACCAGAGGTGTGTGACTGACGCAGGGAAACGCAGACTTCAGATATGTTATAAACAATGTAATTTATTAACACTAACCATACAAACATAAACGCAGTGCAATACTAAAACATAACATAGTGCAAACAAACCAACCAACCACCCACAGATAACAGTACATACAATGCAAGCGTCGTCAGGCAGGCCGGGTCAATATCAGTCGGGCAGGTAGGTACAGGGGGAGCAAGCGGAGAATGGTCGGGGTCACAGGCCAGGTTCAGCAGGTAGCGGGCAGCTGATTGTTGCTATTCATTGCTTCAAGTCGGCCCCATGTTTAGTGCTTTAAAGAGGACCCTGCTTTAATTCGCTACCATCTCAAGGAACTATATGGCACACCTCAACTCAACTTCATACCAACTGGGCCCCAACGAGCGTGCAGAAGGCACTGTAGTGTTTTTACAGGGACAGTGCTCAATTTCAAATGAGAATTCTCTTTCCTTCACATCTAATCCTTGTCATCTACTTCTGAGGGACCCACAGTGAGCTTACCTGTTTCTTGATAGTTGTTTTCCTACTCACTGAACAGTTATTGTTGCTTTATGGTGAATGTTGTTACTTTTGCTCACAATTACCAAAAGTGATTATATTTTTTGCATATATTACAAATAGAGATGAGCGAATTATTCAAAAAATTCGATTCGGCTGATTCGCCGAATTTGAGGAAGAAATTCGATTCGATGCGAATTTATTCGCTACAAATTTAACTTATAAAAAGGGTTTCTAGGCTTCAGAGAGCCTTTATATTAGTGCAGAACACTGTACCTTTAATTTAAATGCCCTTGGAGATGAGGAAGGAGAAGGAGACAAGGAGAAGGATGAGGATGAAAGAAGGAGAAGGATGAGAAGAAGGAGAAGATGATGGAGAAGAATGAGAGAAGGAGAAGGAGAAGGAGAAGGATGAGAAGAAGAGAAGGATGAGAAGAAGGAGAAGGAGAAGGATGAGAAGAAGGAGAAGAAGAAAGGATGAGAAGAAGGAGAAGGAGAAGGATGAGAAGAAGGAGAAGGAGAAGGATGAGAAGAAGGAGAAGGATGAGAAGAAGGAGAAGGATGAGAAGAAGGATGAGAAGAAGGAGAAGGATGAGAAGAAGGATGAGAAGAAGGAGAAGGATGAGAAGAAGAAGGATGAGAAGAAGAAGAAGGATGAGAAGAAGGAGAAGGATGAGAAGAAGAAGAAGGATGAGAAGAAGAAGAAGGATGATAAGAAGAAGAAGGATGAGAAGAAGGAGAAGGATGAGAAGGAGAAGAAGGATGAGAAGAATGAAGAAGGATGAGAAGAAGGAGAAGGATGAGAAGAAGAAGAAAGGATGAGATCGAGAAGAAGAAGGATTAGAAGAAGAAGAAGGATGAGAAGAAGGAGAAGGATGAGAAGAAGAAGAAGGATGAGAAGAAGAAGAAGAAGGGATGAGAAGAAGGAGAAGGATGAGAAGAAGAAGAAGGATGAGAAGAAGAAGAAGGATGAGAAGAAGGAGAATTCCAAGCGGCAAAAAGTG